TACCCGTTTGTGTTCACTCCGCCTGTACTCCTCCTGTCCGTTTGTGTTCACCCCGCCTGTACTCCTCCTGTCCGTTTGTGTTCACTCCGCCTGTGCTCCTCCCACCCGCCTGTTATATCGGGGTCTCGTCCTTATTCAGCTGAGACGTGGCTGCGCCGTCACACGGACCACTCTCAGCTGTGTGATGTTGGGTAGGCAGCCACGCTGCCGGGTGTTCCTGGCTGGGCCACTGTCGGGGACGTGTGCGACCTCGGCTGCGGATGGTGATGTGTCTTTGGTGATGTCTGCGGCCTCGGCTTCGCAGCTGGCCAGCCTGGACGCCAAGTTCAGCTGCAAGGTGAGCGGCACCCCGCGGCCCGACGTCCAGTGGCTCTTCAACGAGCAGCTGCTGAAGTCGTCCAAGAAGCACAAGATCCGCCGGGACGAGGACGCCTGCACGCTGACGGTGCGCGACTGCGGCGAGCAAGACGCCGGCGCCTACACCTGCTGCGCCACTAACGTCGAGGGCACGTCCCAGGCGATCGCCTCCCTCCAGCTGGTGGACAAACTGTGAGTCGCCCAGAGCCCCGTGTGGTGGCGACACCACACTGCTGCGAGCGTGGCACCCGACCGGCCGGTCAGTGGCTCATCGGCTGCTGCGTGACATCCGGTGTGGGCTATCCTTCCGTTGCAACGCCCCGCGGGGTCAAAGAACTATCCAGGGTCGAAGGCCGCTCGTGACTACTTGAATAACCTTATCCAATCTGATCCAGTTTTTAATTATTTATTTTTAGCATTTAAATGAAAGAGTTTCCATATGAACATGTTTCAAACTTCATTCATCTGTATTGTTTCAATCTACCCATGCCATAGTGGCTTGAATTGAATAATCGGTGCTGCCATCTAGGGAGCGTCGACCGAAGTCGGAGGCGCCGCTGTTCCTGAAGACGATCGGCGACTGCGAGGTTTTCCCCGGCATGCAGGCGCGCTTCACGGGCTGCGTGGCTGGCTTCCCGGAGCCAGAGTGCGAGTGGTACAGGAACGACGTGCGCCTCTACCCCAGGTGCGGCCAGGTGCAGCCCGGTGATGCCGAACCGGGCGCTGATAGTGACCGATTACGAGTCGGCTCTGTCGTTCAATTCGAACATCAGACAGGAGCCTGCTGCTGGTCTGGTTATTGCCAGATACTCGGACTAAGCTGCTAGGTTGGTTGTCGACGCAGGCCTCCGTGGGTCATCGACCCTAGGTACTGACACGTCCATTGCTGTCATTACGTGTCACGCCGATTGTGACACGGGGTCGTTGAAATGATCTTGCTGTGCACGGAGTTTGACCTTGGCTCAAGGTATGAAGCTCCATGTAGCGCCTCTGGCTGCCCCTTCCACTTCCCTCATCCTTATCTGGCCTCCCATTTCCCTGACCTCCCTTGACACCCTGTCTGCACTGCCAGTGACCTATCCTGACGGAGGCGGACGGCTCTGCCCCTGACCTCCCTGACACCCTGTCTGCACTGCCAGTGACCAATCCTGATGGAGGCGGACGGCTCTGCCCCTGACCTCCCCTGACACCCTGCCCGGGCCGTCAGTGACCTATCCTGATGGAGGCGGACGGCTCTGCCCCTGACCTCCCTGACACCCTGCCCAATGACCTATCCTGATGGAGGCGGACGGCTCTGCCCCTGACCTCCCTGACACCCTGCCCGTGCTGCCAGTGACCGTGTCCTGATGGAGGCGGACGGCTCTGCCCCTGGCCTCCCTGACACCCTGCCCGGGCCGCCAGTGACCTATCCTGATGGAGGCGGACGGTTCTGCCCCTAACCTCCCTGACACCATGCCCGTGCTGCCAGTGACCGTATCCTGATGGAGGCGGACGGCTCCGGCCTGGTGCGGCTGACCCTGCGGACCGTGGACGACACGGACGCCGGCCGGTACCGGCTGCGCATCCACAATAGCGAGGGACAGGCGGCCTGCGAGGCCGACCTCACCTACGACTGTACGTACGGGTTCTGATCCCTTCGCAGAAAACCTTGATCGGCTCCGGCTTCAGCCAGAGGCGGCGATGCCAGCAGCCCGAGTGGCAAACTTGCGTCGGGCAAACAATGCAGTAGCTGTAGTGGATGAGACTGCACTGTACCTACACCCGGCGCGACAGCAGATTTGTTTCCATGTGTGCCCAACTGCTGCGCTCTTTACCCTGAGAGCAGCAGGTCTCGTGAGGGTGTCGGTACCCTTGTGGACGCTGAACACGGGGTACACTCCAGAATACAGAGCATATGCTCGCACCCCCACCTCCACCATAGAGGTAGAGGTGCGAGCTGTGTTCGATCCATTTTCAACCAGTGCTTAGACACGCCAGGCTTGGCTCGGTGCCCATCGGGTGCGTTTGATCTACGTGATCCCCGGAAGACCTGTTCATTACAACTGGCTGTGCTTCCAGCTGGTCAGCAGCAGTGTCTGCAGTCAATCACTTCTTACTGAGGTAGTAGTGGTAGATCCAGAGATGGATACCGCCAGCTGTGTCGCGCCTCGAGTCCACGTGATCTGCGCGTTCTCCACGTGTGCTCCAATGCTATCCCGTTGATAGAGCAATGGTATCTCCTAGGCTTTGAGATATCGCCGACCAAGCCGCTGAAAGACCAGTATCAGGCTCTGGAGAAGCAGCTCAAGTCGGGCATCCCCATGCCACTAGCCGATCCTCCAATCATCTCGAGGTGAGACTGCAGCCGGGAACGGCCGCCGGCGTCACGCCACGACCTGGACCGGTGTCACGCCACGACCTGGACCGGCGTCACGCCACGGCCTGGACCGGTGTCACGCCACGACCTGGACCGGCGTCACGCCACGACCCGGACCGGCGTCACGCCACGATCTGGACTGACGTCACATGACGACTTGAACCGGCGTCACGCCACGATCTAGACTGATGTCACGTGATGACTTGGGCCGGCGTCACGTGACGACCTGGACTGACGTCACGTGACGACCTGGACCGGAGTCAAACGATACCGCCTGAACCGGTCGTGCTTGTGATCGCCGGAGCCGCTGATCGGCGTAAGGATCACCTCTTTCAGTAGCTGGCCCTGGAACAGCCGGTCGGACGCTGTGCTTGTGGATGACTGTGACACCGACCGTGTGCCCCATCGGGTGGAAGCATTTGCCTACAAGTGTAAGATGGTTTGTTTCTTTAGGTGTGATATGATTTCTTTCTCTTTTTGAAATTTCCCACATCTCGCCACAGAGTAATACTAATTTGGTAAATGTGTGCCTCATAGATGTGTCATTCGTGGACAGGATGGTGGACCACCAGCTGACGTTGTCATGGAGACCGTCCCCCGCCGCGGGCCAGCACATACCGCCCACGTACACCGTAGAAATGGCGAAGATGCCGGAGGGAGACTTCGCCGTCATCAACACCGGTACAACTTGGCGATTCAAACCCTGCCGGTTTTCATGCGGGGGCGCAGGCGAAAGCATTCATTTTGACGGTAAAACACTCAGCGGCCAACTGAGACAGAACTTCAACCTGTGAAGCTCTGTGTGAGCCAGCTACCCAACGCTAAATAGCTCTTAACCCATTTTTCACCGTACAACCAGCCGTTCGGAAGCGACAGTGGCTCCATCCAGAGCTTGGCACGCTGTGCACGAGTGCACACACTGAATATAAGCACGTGGAAGGCCGCCAATATCGTGACTTGTCCGAGTAAAAGCGTCAAGTCTCAGGACAATCATGCGCTTTGCCAGAGTACGTTGTTTCCCTGCATTTTCTCTAACCGCCGTTCCCGACGCCTCAGTTCCGGAGAATTTACGAGTGGCCGATGCCGAGCCGGGCGGACGCGCGCGTAGCGAGCATTGTGTTGCATCGCTCCGACCTGCCGTCACCGCTGGTGCCGAGCGCAGCTCTGGCGAGCATTGTGCTGTGTCGCTCCGACCTGCCGTCACCGCTGGTGCCGAGCGCGGCTCTGGCGAGCATTGTGTTGTGTCGCTCCGACCTGCCGTCACCGCTGGTGCCGAGCGCAGCTCTGGTGAGCCAGAGACGCAGCGCTCACGCTGGAGCGCGTCCCAGACGTCGAGCGGGGCTCGCACTGTCAGTGACGGGTCCGTGACGAGTCAGTGACGGGCCGGTGACGAGCCAGTGACGGGCCGGTGACGAGTCAGTGACGGGTGCTGACCTAATCATTCCGCCGTCCGCGCGCCAGGCGTGCGGGGCTGCTCGGTGGAGATCAAACGGCTGGAGCCGCACTGCGACTACAAGTTCCGCGTCATCGTGGAGAACAAGCACGGCGCCAGCGAGCCGTCACCGCACGCCGTGGCGCACAGGTCAGCCACGCTTCACTGGGTCACGCTCGGCGCAGCCACGCCGCCCTAGGTCACACTCGGTACTGGAGAACGTTCAATATCGAACCGCACTGCCGAAGTGTAATTCGCAGCGCGTCATTTGAGGGAATACCGCGACTCATCGTAATTGGTTGCCAAATGCTAGTTGAAAAAGACAAATGACCAAGAATGGTCATGAAGTAGTATTTTCATATATATATATATATATATATATATATATATATATATATATATATATGAGCTTTATTGCTTTTTGTTGATAACCATTGGTGATATAGGTTGATTTTAGAATGGAGGACAAACAGTCTAACAGGGATGACAGCTCTAATCATTAGAATGGCCTAAGGACATTTCTGGCAACACCACCATCTTGCTCCATCCTATTCGTCGCATTTCAAACAAACCACACTGCTACCATGTCTTAAGCAACGCTCCAGGGTGACGTTGCAATGCGACCTCTTTTCTCTCCCACCACTCGATGGACTGATCCATGGCGTCCGTGTTCCTCGTTCTCCCCTGAGTACACTGCTGTTTGACCGCTCGTCTGCCGCATCAGGAACCACCTGGTGCCGGACCCGGACCCAGAGAACCCCTGTCTTCCGGCGAACGACCACTTCAGACCGGACAGCTCGCCGCTCTTTCCGCGCGGCTTCGACATGGAGAAGTACTCCGCAGGCAAACCCCACCCGCCCACGTGAGTACGCTGCGACGCTTGCTGTCATACCAACCGCTTCCAGCAAGCGGTACCTAACGCAGCCGGCGATACCGGCGGTAGCTTGTATATACATAGGGATTTCTTCTCGGAACCTGGAATGGAGGACCAGAATCTGCGTCCGCAGTTTCTCCACTCATGTACCACCAGTTCTTTGGAGCGGCACATTGCGGCCGGGGACAACCATCCGCCGGCTGTTAAGGCAAGTTCTTGCTGCGGGGGATAGTGCCGTTACTTTCATTGACATTTCAGTGCGATCACATGCTGTCTAACTGAAATCACCAAGCTACTCACATGTGTGAAATTTTTTCAGGCACGCTTTTTGATGCACTTATTTGAAGGCAGGGGCTGAATTCTTGATGTATATAGACGTTGAAGTTAACGGCGTTCCGGGTGCAGGCTCAAAGCCGGGGAGCCGAGCGCCCTAACCCATTTTCTGAGCGCGCTGGCGTAGGCGGCCGCCAGCACCCCGGAAGCCGTGCGCTTCCGCCCCACGCCATCTGCTTCCGGCGCGCCCTGACGCCTGCGTCGGCCTCTAACCGTTTGCTGGCGGCAGCGGCAAGACACAGCCACAGTCGCGCGGCGCCGACGAGGACGACGGTTCGTGGCGCTACGACCGCTTTGACCCGGACGCGTCGTCGGCGCGCCTGGCGTCGCAGCGTCTGCTGCAACCGCTCCCGGCGGCGTACCACCCAGCGACGGGCTCGCCGATGCCGGCCGCTCCGGCGGCGCCGCCCGCGCAGCCGCAGCCGCCAGCGGCCAGGCCTCGGCGGCTCACAGACGATGTGGACGCTTACGTCCCGGCGGCGGGCGGCCGGCCGCGCAGGCAGGCGTACGGCGAGGAGTGGGAGGAGCGGCGTGCCTCCAACATCATCGAGCGCCTGCTGGTGCGTCGCCAGGTGGAGGAGGCCGGCAGAAACTTCAAGCGCGCTGCAGGTCTAGAGACGCGCAGTATGGCGCGCTTCTTGAAGCCGCGGCCGGAGCGGGCGGCGCGGCCCGAGCCGCGCTGGCAGGAGAGCGAGCCGACCGAGCGGCGCTCACTCCGCAGCTCTCGCCCGCCCTCTGACGACGACGACGAGCTGGACATGCCGGCGTCGTACCGCCGCGCCGCCGCGCCGCGGTACCGCGCCTCACCCGAGCTCAGCGACGACGACCTGGAGGTGTCGGCGCCGCGGCGGCCGGCCTACCACCTTCGCACCGCCTCGCTGCTGGCCGCCGCGGCCGACGACAGCGACGACGACCTGACGCCGTACCTGCGCCGGCCGGTGGCGGCGCTGCGCGTACCGCTAGCGCGCGCCAGCCGCTCTCCCGTCAGCAGCCGCGACCGCGAATACGAGGAGCGCCGGGAGCGCCACCAGGAGTTGATCAACAGCCGCAGTCGGGAGCCGCCGCCGTCGGCGCCCGACTGGCAGGGCCAGCTGGAGCGAAGCCTGCGCGGCCGCTCGGCCGTCGCCGGCGACGCCAAGAGCGCGACCCTAGCGTCCGTCGGCGACTGGGAGAGTCGGTTCGCGGCCGACCTCTGACGCGGCGGCCCGGCCGGCGCCCGACTGGCCTGCGTCGGCGCTCGGACGGAGCCGCCGCGGCGCCGCGCTAGAGCTGGCAGTGTGAGTGTGGTGTCGAGTTAGAGCAGTACCGGCCGTCTCCCGGCGCGTGCGCGTGCTCCTGCCCAGTGATGCGTGAACACGACCCGAGCAGCCGCTGCCACGGCGCCCGAAAGCAACGGCTCCCTGCCTTCGGCTTGTGTGTTTGGCTCCTTCGCTGCTCGTATCACGCAGCTCTAATCGATTTTGCTGTTTTGCATCAGCTTTCCGAACGAAAACATTGGCCTTTTATCGCGTGTCGCGTACCTTTACTAATCCCCTTGAGTTTTGTAACGGTTGTTAGCGTAATACATTTTATGCACAATCTTTGACGGTTGTAATCTGCCAACGCAATGCTGAAGAGCACCGAAAGCCTCACCTTAAACTAGCACCGGCCTGCTTTAGCAGCGCACCGCCTCTTGCAAGCTGCGCTGCATTACACGTGCATCTTCTCGGGAGCAAAGGAGACAAACACACATGTAGAAGGTATGGGCATGTTGAGATTTGCAGTCGTGCAGGTGTTCGCACTAAATCGTTTTGCTTTTGCTGCTTTCACCGTCGGTGGATTTTTATACTTGTGCTCTAATTTCTGATCTTTGAGAGAACTTTAGGTGATGGCTTTTATAAAGACGCATGAAACGCTATGTCGCTAAAAGGTAATGCTATAAGTTATACTCTTGCATGAGCTCCGCGGTGCTACTCAACTCAAAATGAGGATTTCTCAGTTGCGATGCACTTCCTCCCTGCATCTTCATGGCTCGCACAGCACATATGGTATTTGTCAATTTGCACACCCACGATGTTCGATATTGAAAGCAAGATGCTAATACATCCAAAATCTATCAAGCTTAGGCCATGCGTCGTAAATGCGAATTTCGGTGCAGCTTTATTGCCCAGCGGGTATAAGAAGAGAAAGATGCATAAGGATGGTGCCAGACTGCAAGCACGAAGACTTGCCATACTTTTACGGCGGGATCATAGTACGTACTGCATCATTTATGACAGAAAATGTTCCTCGACAGTCTAGCAGAGTCCTGTCTACTAAGTCTCAGTTAATCGAAACCACGGCTTTATGGATTTTGCAAGCTTCATTTTCCCGGCAAAAAACCCCAGGGCTGACAGGACGTTTAGCTTTTATCGCAACCAATGAGATTGGGCCGTGCTAACTAGCAGCTGCGATTGGCCCAAAATGCGTTCTGTCACAAAATGTGACGTTAGACCCCGGCTGCCCCGATCGCTGCTATTATTACAATGGCATTCCAGTTGATATCAAACGACGTGTCCTAATATTTTCGGCGCTGCCATATTGCAAGATCTCTCTCTCTCTCTCTCTCTCTCTCTCTCTCTCTCTCTCTCTCTCTCTCTCTCTCTCTCTCTCTCTCTCTCTCTCTCTCTCTCTCTCTCTCTCTCTCTCTCTCTCTCTCTCTCTTCTCTCTCTCTCTCTCTCTCTCTCTCTCTCTCTCTCTCTCTCCTCTCTCTCTCTCTCTCTCTCTCTCTCTCTCTCTCTCTCTCTCTCTCTCTCTCTCTCTCTCTCTCTCTCTCTCTCTCTCTCTCTCTCTCTCTCCTCTCTCTCTCTCTCTCTCTCTCTCTCTCTCTCTCTCTCTCTCTCTCTCTCTCTCTCTCTCTCTCTCTCTCTCTTCTCTCTCTCTCTCTCTCTCTCTCTCTCTCTCTCTCTCTCTCTCTCTCTCTCTCTCTCTCTCTCTCTCTCTCTCTCTCTCTCTCTCTCTCTCTCTCTCTCTCTCTCTCTCTCTCTCTCTCTCTCTCTCTCTCTCTCTCTCTCTCTCTCTCTCTCTCTCTCTCTCTCTCTCTCTCTCTCTCTCTCTCTCTCTCTCTCTCTCTCTCTCTCTCTCTCTCTCTCTCTCTCTCTCTCTCTCTCTCTCTCTCTCTCTCTCTCTCTCTCTCTCTCTCTCTCTCTCTCTCTCTCTCTCTCTCTCTCTCTCTCTCTCTCTCTCTCTCTCTCTCTCTCTCTCTCTCTCTCTCTCTCTCTTTCTTCACTGCTCCTTTGAAAGGGATGTTATCTGAAATCACCTTATTTTATAAAATTGCTCCTATTATACTCCTCTAAATGTAAATGGCACACATCCACGTCAATGATATGAGACGGTGCGCAACTTTATATAATATGATGGTGAATAATCCAGGTCGATTGGGAGCTTGGTTACCGAACCTTCCTTACAGCGTCACAGCGTCCGAGCAGTGTAAAACACTCATATCCCCTGATACCGATGCCGTCACGGAATCTGGCCCGGCCGGACGGCGTGTGTCCGACCCTCTGAAAATACTTCAGGCAGTCTGGAACGAGTCATTCTAGAAAGTAAACATCGATATAGCTCGCAAGCCTTTGTCGCACCCAGGTCAACCTGTGCCTAGTTTTTACACGCGTTTGGGTAGGCGGGGGTCAATGTACCCCCCCCCCCCCGGAAGGTTTTTCCGGAATGGTTTTTAAGTGCCGAGGCATATCCGCGCCAAATTTTACATTGCTGTAGACAACTGAATAGCGGATCGTTTGGTATCAAACATTTAAATGTGCACCGTGAGGTCGCTGACCTACGACAGGTCAAAGTTGGGCCATGGATTCAGCGAAGACAACCTCTAGGGAATCGTTCAATCTGATACAACACCGGAATGTTAAACGAAGCCATATGTCTCTGAGATAGTTTCTTAAGCAACACAACAATTGAATGAACAACTTCCATTGATCTAGGGCCAGATACGAATTTTAGACCAAGGTCAAAACCAACTGTTTTATTACTCTAGAGCTTGTGCTGCGGGTTAGATTCTGGTGCTCATCTAAAATTTATTGACAACAGGAATCGCATTACACATCTTTCATGAGCTTCTTAAAGGTCCGAATAGGTCACTGACCTTATATGACCCGGGTCAACATTTCGTTTTGACGAACACACTGCCTAGCGTAATCATTGATGCTTGCTCAAGTACAAAACTCAAAGCGGCGTGTATGATTTTGGCCATCATGACCCTCGACAGGTCAAACAAGGTGAACAACCTTAAATAAGCATCACCGATATTTTGCCTAGAACAGGTATCTAGGTTCCTGGTTCCTGGCACTCTGGACACCAATCTGGATTTTGACCTTGGTTGGCATTATTTGATCCGAAGATCAAATCAGAACTAGGAGGCTCAAAATTTGATAGAAACGGTTTCACGTGCAGGCCAACGCACCGTGTAAGTTTGGTGTCTCTAGCTCTCTTAGTTCCTAAGATATCAAGGGGGTCAAATTGACCCCCCGCACACCGAAGCAACGGTATTCAACCGGCCACTCGGGCGCATATCAACACTGTCGTCGTCCTGATCAGTGTCTTTCGTATCGAGCTGAACAATAAGAAATACTAACCAATGGCAACTTTTTGGGGAAAGGAAACATACAAATTTCTAGCTTTCAATACGAACCAGTTCAGTTTTCGTCACGTCAAGTCATGACAAGTTACTTTGAAATGCTGCGTCAACATTACAACCGGGGTGGAGCAAATATTTTGAAAGAGAACCACCGGGGCGCTGTCAGCAAATAGCTCTCGTCAGAACTGTATAGTTGGCTTTTGCTACAATAGCTTCTTTGCTTCCATAGACTTCAGAGTTACAACGACGTTGAATTTGATGGATGCTGAACATTCCTGCATGAGGGGAACAATAACTCAAACACATCGAAATTACCCTGCCTCATCGTCCGGAGCGCTATGAAAGATAGTGTCAACATCTGTCAGTTCAAGTTGTACAGTTGTCAACTTTGGTGCAGATTCTGACGTCAGACTAGCACATGCGATGCCAGATTAACTGTGCCCACACCCTGGCAAACTTCATGCCACCAAAAATATTACATATCTCTTCAAAAGTATGCCTGCGATGTCGCCACACACCGGATCAGTACGGCCGGGTTGTAAAGGTAGCTATATCGTGTGATATGCCGCGTGAGGTCTGAAGTTCGGGACGGGCAACCGAAGCTCACTCAAATGCATATAAATGCATGAAAAACGGCAATGATGATATTGTTTGAAAGGATGATACGGCAATTCAGTACTCGATATGACCAAAGTAATGACTTGCCATATCATCTTTTAAGCAATATTACCGCTGTTGTTTTTATGTATTGATATGTAGGAGCAATGTAGGACATGTTTGCCTTCAAATCAGGCTACTTCGTGCCTGTTTTCTCGATGCGCAATGGAACAACTCCACGGATATCAATTTTGAAAAAAAAAACGAAATAAGGCACCACAACTGCTGAAGTCAGGCTAATGACAATGACGTATATGAAAAATGAAGAGACAGCAGAACCATTGCAAATATAGAGAAAACCAACTTATCATGATGTTGACGCTTATCGGTTGCAATTACAGGGCATGGAACACTTTATTTTTTGGCATGACTATTCATAATCCATGACAAGACAACGGCTGGGTACAACTGAGGCAAAAACAAAGTACATATTCATAACGAGGTGGAGATCATCACTACTTTTGGTGATAATTTTGCAGTCTGCCTCCATTTGTTTTTCTAACAATTTCAAAACATGGGATGGTGCCGTCGGCCGCCCATCGGCTGGGCGCGGCCTCAAAGGTAGCAGTGCTAGATGACGCCCGATGGGGAATGGGAGGGCTCCACTATCAACTGTAAACCTGATTTGACTGCTGTTGAAATCCAGACATACTAGGCTTTTCATTCAGAAGGCCCTCGCTCATGCGCGTCCGGACTGAGAGCTCTTCCGTCAGTGACGAAATAAAGTGGTGTAAACATTTTGTTATTAGCTGTGACAAGCTCTCTTGATGTGCTCAGATGTTCCACCTTTGGTGTCCTGTGCTTTTTAACTACCACTCCCTGGATGACTGTGCCCCGTGGCGTTTGGTGTCACGGCCCTCTAATTGGCTATCCGTGAATGTGTGTTGGATGTTCAGTGTCATCACGTTGTCATAGCATCTGGAGTGTCATAAAGCATGCACGGACTTACGCCGAGCCGTCTTGTCGCTGTGCGCATGATGTTCATGTCATTCTATGACTACCTACCTGGGTACCGCTGCTTTTCAGATGCATCGACTGTGCAGTACAAGCGCTTTTAAATCGGCATTGTTAATTCGAATGGAGATCACGTTTTCTTTGAAAAGCATGTGCCCCAATAGGAGGCGCAGATGTGTGAATACGGTCAAAGGCAGAGCTGACACACCTGTTTAAATAACTTAGTTCAATTGTTTTGTCGTCACGGATTGATAACAACGTTTTACTTTGAATAAGCCAGCCCAAACAGAATCACCTGGGAAATGATTAACTTTTCACTTTTTATTAAACATGGAACCCGCCTCGTTGACCGGTAAACCGCTCCCTTGTCTAAAGTCCACCCAGAAATCGCAGTGTGTTGAACCTGGGAAATATTTACTGGTAGCGCATGGTCAACGTCACGCGTAGTCCCGCGCCCGCTCCCGCTACAAGGCCGACTCACCCTCCCCCTCGCCGGCAGCTTCCTGCGACAGGAGAGCAACATGCAGTTCGGCGTGAAGGGACGCGATGCTCGACTCCGCTGGTACGTGTTCGGCCATCCCCACCCGGACATGCGGTTCACTTTCAACAACAACGAGATCGAGATGGCCGGCAGGTTCAGCTGCAGCTTCGGCAATGACGGGCAGCTGACGCTCGTCATCAGTAGGTGAGGGACGGCGGTATCCACTGACCAGGAGTTTAACACTGACACCTATCTTGTCCTGCACTGTGCTCCGTATCGACTTGTTCCGTCCGTGCTGTTCATGAGATGCGAAAAGTCAATCGTACCATGCACGTCGTTAAGTTATTCTGTGACTTTACTATGTTCTCGTGATTTTTCCATCTTTTCTGTACTAATGACCTTCACAATACGTCCAGCGTGCAGCTGTTTCCACCTTTATGCTGGAGCTCACCAGTGAGCTGATTTTCTCACAGATCTAGTGAAGTTCAGCGGATTGCGTGTGGATACGTCCCACCATGACCCAGGCGGGACAAATCTTCACCAGAACGGACGTTTGACCCAACGGGACCAACTTCTACCCGATTTTACCTTCGACCCAGATGGACCAGGTCCTAACCTAATATTACTTTTCACCCAGCCGGACCAAATCCTTACCCAATCTTACCTTTCACCCAGTCGGGTCAAATTGTCACCGACGTGACCTCTGGCACCGACAGCATGCAGGAGCGCGACCAGGGCGTGTACGAGGCGCTGTGCACCAACAAGTACGGCGAGGCGAGACAGCGTGTCCTGCTGCGCCTGGCGGAGCCGCCTCGCTTCCTGCAGCACCCGGAGGAGACGACCGTCATGCAGCGCGAGCAGGCGCGGTTCGAGGCGCGCGTCACCGGCGTGCCCATACCGGAGGCGAGTCGCAGATCCGCTGTGGGGACGCCTGCCCGCTGTTCCGGGGCTGCAGGCGGATCGGCTCCGTCACGTGACGGCGAGAGCGCGCTTGCCAGAGGGCGCGGTGGAGTTTTGCGACGCGAAGGGCATTTTCAAGACGACTTCGGGGATTTTAGTTCCGGGTTCGGAACGCTCCGAAGCTTCCGCGTAGGATGGACAGGGATTTGGACGGAGGAGCCCCACAACACGTGAGGGATTTCGCACCACGTCTTTGCCGCGTGACATGACAACTACCGCCCGAACTTGTTAAAAGGAAATGTCATTCCCGTGTGATATTTCGCCTTGGAGCCCAAATGATCGTTAATTTATCTGACTTTCCCGGCGCAGATCCGCTGGTACAAGGACTGGCAGCCGCTGGCCAAGTCGAAGCGCGTGCGGATCTTGTGGCGCGAGCCGGACACCTGCATCCTGCTGATCAACAGCTGCCTGACGCCGCGCGACCGCGGCTTGTACTCGATCACGGCCACCACTCCCGTCGGCACCACCACGGCCTCGGTGAGGACGACCGCGGGGTCCGTGGGGGCGGCAGCCGTCCCCGACGGTCGTGGTACGTGATTCCTGTAATTTGAGAGCCAGTTTGTGCGTTCTTAGTCTCGTTCCGCTCTTTAGTCTCAAAATACCCTTGCAAAATGAGGACTTAGCAACAGCCTACTGGCTGATGTAGACAAGCTGTTCCGGGCTAATTTTTCAATAAAACGACTGCGTCAGCCTCATGTGGCTGACAGGGCCAATTACAGTATCACCCTCCCCAAACCTGTACCATGCTGTATCCCTGCACCTGTACCCGGCCAGGCGATGCTGCACGTGGAGTACGACGAGTCCATGTACAAGTACATCTCGTACTCGCCGGCCCGCTCCGTCAAGCCCCGCAACAAGGCATTCGAGGATTTCTGCGACATCGGCGAGGAGCTGGGCAGGGGCACCCAGGGCATCGCCTACCACGTCATACAGCGCTCCAATGGTGAGCACACCCAGGGGATCACCTACCACGTCATGCAGCGTTCCAGTAGTGAGCACACCCAGGGCATGGCCTACCACGTCACACAGCGCTCCAATGGTGAGCACACCCAGGACATCGCCGACCACGTCATACAGCGCTCCGATGGTGAGCACACCCAGGACATCGCCTACCACGTCATACAGCGCTCCAATGGTGAGCACACCTTAGACATCACCTACCACGTCATACAGCGCTCCGATGGTGAGGACACCCAGGGCATGGCCTACCACGTCATACAGTGCTCCAATGGTGAGCACACCCAGGGCATCGCCTACCACGTCATACAGCGTTCCAGTAATGAGCGTTCAGAGCATCACCCACCATGGCACACAGGATCTCAGCAGTGAACGCTCAGAGCATCACCCACCATGGCACACAGGGTCTCAGCAGTGAACGCTCAGAGCATCACCCACCATGGCACACAGGGTCTCAGCAGCGAACACTCAGAGCATCACTCACCATGGCACACAGGGTCTTAGCAGTGAACACTCAGAGCATCACTCACCATGGCGCACAGGGTCTCAGCAGTGAACGCTCAGAGCATCACTCACCATGGCACGCAGGGTCTCAGCAGTGAACGCTCAGAGCATCACTCACCATGGCACACAGGTTCTCAGCAGTGAACGCCCAGGGTATCACTCACCATGGCACACAGGGTCTCAGCAGTGAATGCTCAGAACATCACTCACCATGGCACACAGGGCCTCAGCAGTGAACACCCAGAGCATCACCCACCATGGCACACAGGGGCTCGGCAGTGAACACTCAGAGCATCACTCACCATGGCACATAGGGGCTCAGCACTGAACGCTCAGAACATCACTCACCATGGCACACAGGGGCTCGGCAGTGAACACTCAGAGCATCACTCACCATGGCACACAGGGGCTTAGCAGTGAGCTCCCGAAGTCTCAGCTACCACAGCACGCATGCACGTGCACAGCTGTCCAGCAGTGTGTTCACGGATAACGAGAACGACGCCTACCGCCTTAATCACAAGCCCAAGAAGAGACCGTAGAGGCGTACATGATATGATCATGCAAAGCGTCGTCATCATCATCCAAGTGCATTACGACAGCGAGTTCCGCCTGTTGTTTTGTCTCGTGAAATAGAAAATAACCTCTGCATTTTTGGGTTCCAGTTTTGCTCTGTTTTTAGAGGCAATATCCCGCTTCTGCCATGATGAACACCGCCAATAGATTTACCGAGATTATAACACCGCTAACACCTCTCAGTCGGGATGCCCGCCGGTATATGTATATATATATATATATATATATATATATATATATATATATATATATATATGTGTGTATATATATATATATATATATATATATATATATGTGTGTATATATATATATATATATATATATATATATATATATATATATATGCATGCCTGATGCCTGCCTAAGTACTGCTCAGTGAACTTATAGCGCTCCAGCAGACTGTAACCGAGCTACATCTGAAACCGAGTGCAAGCGTTTGCATTGGTGGAATTCTTAGCAGTGATATGCCATAGGCTGAAGCTGATGAATGTTAAAATACGATTTACATGCGTCCTAACTATCTGAAATTACGCTGGACCGTCTTAACATCGCCGCCCTCGCCAGCTGTGCCATGCCCGTATGGCGTCACCATTCCCGATACAACGTCACCGCCCCTGCCCGCAGGCTGCAGCTTCGCGGCGAAGGCGATGAACGGCAAGGGCGACTTGCGCCAGGCGATGAACAGCGAGATGTGGATCATGAACCAGCTGCACGACCGTCAGCTGGCACGCTTGTACGACGCGTACGAGTCGCCGCGCCAGCTGATCCTCGTCCAGGAGCTGTGCAGCGGCGGTGACGTGCTGCACGTGCTCTGTCGTCAGCCCAGCTACAACGAGGCGGACGTGGCCAACGTCGTACGCCAGACGCTCTGGGGCCTGCAGCACATGCACCTCAAGCACATCGCGCACCTCTCACTCACGGTGCGTGGAGGCGTGGGCGGCATTACGACGGCTCCATTTGTAGAGTCGCCGTCAGGTCTCAGGTCTCAGGTCTCAGGTCTCAGGTCTCAGGTCTCAGGCTCCGTTAGGGCCCGGGTGTCCCCGCTTGAGAATCTCACAGAACAACTTCCGTGTCACCGGGCACGTAATGCTGAGATTATTAGTGGAAGAATAATGGGACATAAATGCGACATCTGTTCACCAACTGGAAAGATGAGAATATTTCTGTTGGTAGCTCATACACGATCGCCCTTCTGTCGAGGTCGTGTTCGTCATTCTTCGTGTTCACATGTACGTGCGTTTGCACTCTGGTGTTGGGCATACAGTCTTTACAACTGCCCTACGATGATTCGCTCTATCTTATGCCACGTGACGCCGCGGCCATACACGAAGGAAAAAGGTCAGGACGCCCAACGCCGGGCTAGGCCGAATGCGCTGGATGACGGAACGTTGAAGAGGAGAATTTGTTATCTGTCGTGGCGTGGGTTAGCGCATCTTGTGTAATATCAGTCGTTATTTGATGACGTTTGGCGATCGCTACCCAGTACCGTTTGTTTTCTTGTCGTGTCATTTTAAGTGGTTGAGGAGAGCAAAGTTGGGCGTCTGTGCACACGGCTTGGACGGCATGACGTCATCTGGCACGTCGCAGATCACACCCACTGAGATGATGCATGATGGAACGAGCCAAGCGTCATACATTGTCGCTTTTCCCAACATCACAGCAGTCATAGTCCCGCAGATAAATGGGATCCTATATTCCATAATTTTATGCGGCTAACCTTTTCGACCCATAGAAAGAAAAATGCATTCTGTCATACAAATGCAAATGGCCTGGATGCATCCAAGTCAATTTGTCCTGCTATTCAATTACTGCACTGTCATGCATTTTTACGAGAACTCTCCGGCGACGCTTTCGTTTGCGGTTATCGGGTTTAGGGCGGGTGGCTCCCTTCTATTTAAGTAGGTGGTTCTGATGTTTGGAGGAGGGGCCATTACCTTGTTGGAGGTCAAATGCACCATTACCTTGAGGGGCCTCGTACCTCCTCAACGTTTGTCTCGGCTTCCTCAATGTGTGACCCAAATCTCCCAAAAGTCCAGCAAAACAAAAAGAAAGCAATAAGCCTTTGTACGTATGTTCTTTCCTTGTCATCAATGATGCCAGCTGAGCTATGGAGGGGGCTTTCTCATCAAATGCACCCTGCTGGGATTGGGTTCCGCTTCCGGCGCACGTGTGACGCCTGTGTGTATATTTTGGCTGAGATGCCAGCTTGCTTGCTCATAATTGTCCCAGCAAAGTACGGAGGGCCGCGAAATACATCTGCCGCCGCGGTGCCGGTACCGCCCCATGCACTGCACCCCCTGAGGTACCAGCACCGCAGCACACCGCGACACCCTTCCCCTGCCGCAGCCGGCCGACATCCTGTTCTCGCGCCCTGGCGGTGACGAGGTGAAGCTGATCGACTTCAGCCTGGCTCGCCACATCAACCCGGGGCGCCCCGAGCGGCTCGACTTCGGTAAGCGTGGCAGCCAGCCACATGTGGTGCACGGTGCCTTCCGACGTGATGCAGCTGCTCTGTTTCTGTCAGCCCGGTTAAACGTATGAGAGCGGATCGAGATGAGACCGACAAACGGGCCACGAGACCCGTCAGATTGACGGCAGGCTTCGATGTCTGTGCCGTGTTGAGGAGTGCGCGCTGCTGACCTGCCCGGATTTGTTGGAAAGCGCTTACGTACACACGTACTGCCTCTGTAAGCCCGCAATTTATGAGCAATGGCCGTTTTTAGTGGGGCATATTGATATCACCAGATCATCAGATGATCATGGAACTATGATCCTCCGCGTGTCAGCTAAATGATAATAGCGTGAAAAATGCTTTCATATCAATATTGATTAACAAATGAAATTTCAACGCGTAGAGCGGGAACAATTTTAACACTGATCGGTAACCATGGTGGTTCTCCTTCAGAAAACATCTCATTTTCATCTGTCAGACAGCTGATGACATCATAGGCCATCTCAGTTACTTTTCAAGTCCCTAGGGTAATCCATTTCTTCGCGAACTGCAACATTCGTCATAATAGCCATCTAACTTTGAAACCAAACCAAAGGACAAAATCGCGTTCATACGCGTCAGAAACATGCCACAATGAGGTCACTGCACACGGATTTCCCATTGTTTCTGAGTCGCATGATGCACTGATACCTGTGATGAACTTCTCAGCAGCCAATCACCTGAAAAGTGGAAATTTGGTTTACTGAACGCTTCGTCGCGAAAGGCTTTATAAATCATCACCAACGTATCTTATACGTTATCTAATTATACGCACGTAACTTACGTTTTCCTTAGTTGAATGAGTGAGCAATGCTACTTTATCCTGGGCTGCCTATACTTCCGTCCTGTCTTGAAACACCTCAACCGCATCATTTTAACAATCTGAGTGATTACCCTATATTGTTAAAGATGTCTGATTTATGACTGCGTCGTTCTTCTAAACTTATCAGCTTAAACTGCAAAGTGGAAACCTTCACAGCCACAATTTCCGTTCTGAAACCCATGCGCCACCCATTCTTTGTCGGCTGCACCGACCCGTTATCTGACAGTTTTCCTTTTTCGGGCATTTGGATTCCGAGTTACGGGACACGCTTCGGAACACTTAAAATAGATACAGAGTAGACAGCGTAGTAGACAGCGTTTGTACAGAGATAGGGCGAATCAAGCGTTGCTTATGAACGCAACGCAACACAACGTAACGGTATTGTACCTTAAAGCCCTTTCAGCAGAACTGTAAATCATTTCTTGAAGCATTTACCCGAGATCTCATAGCCCCTTACTCACGTCCGTACCCATATCCCTCATTTCCCGCAGTCTGGATCCAACTCATTCCGTCGCCTACTCCACACGTGCATTCCGGGATTTACCACGAAGCCCTGTACCGTGAACATAAATGTTATCGCCATAGGTGCCGGGAAGACGTATTGACCGTGCGCTGGTCAGGTGATGTCACTAACGCTGCGATGGCATTATCTCAGCTATCCCTGCTGATGTGGATGTTGGTCGCATAGAGGACTTGCAATATGCGCTTAGGCGTTTGTTCCATTTCTGCCCGATTTCTGACACAAAGATACCAAACACGTTGGAGCTGTCTTGGAATTCTACTGTATGACTTGCAAGTGACAAGACTCTTGGGAGCTTGGTTACCGAACCTTCCTTACAGCGTCACAGCGTCCGAGCAGCGTACAGCACTCATCTCTCCTGATACCGATGCCGTCGCGGATCCTGGCCTGGCCGGACGGCGTGTCCGGCCCTCTGAAAATACTTCCGGCTGTCTGGAACGAGTCATTCTAGAAAGTAAACATCGATATAGCTCGCAAGCCTTTGTCGCGCCCAGGTCGACCTGGGCCTAATTTTTGCACGCGTTCGAGTAGGCAGGGGTCAATTTACCCCCCCCCCCACCGAAGGTTTTTCCGGAATGGTTTTCGAGTGCCCCGACGTATCCGCCCCAAGGTTCGCATAGCTGTAGACAACTGAATAGCGGATCATTTGGTATCAAACATTTAAATGTACACCGTAAGGTCGCTGACCTACGACAGGTCAAAGTCAGGCCACGGATTCAGCGAAGACAGCCTCTAGGGAATCGTTCAATCTGGTACAACACCGGAATGTTAAACGGAGCCATACGTCTCTGAGATAGTTTCTTCCGCAAAAAAACAATTTGACGAACAAATTCCATTGATCTAGGGCCAGATACGAAGTTTAAACCAAAGTCAAAACCAACTGTTTTATTACTCTAGAGCTTGTTCTACGGGTTAGATTCTGATGCTTATCTACAATTTATTCAGCTTTTTCAGCTTATCTACAATTAATTGCAAGTGATTTTGCCCAAACCTGGTATTAATTTTCGGATGTAGAAAAATAGATCACATCGTTATAGCCTCTCCATCTCAAGTTTGGTTGACGGTTTGCATTCAGATAATTCAAAGCAAGACATGAAACGTTCAGCTTTCGGCTGAAGAAAAAGGCGGCCATGTACCTCTTCTAGAATGATGTTGTATCTCCGTTAGCTGGTACGGCGTAGGCATTGGCTCATCAGAATATCTCGAGCTGACCACTTGCCACCTGCAGAAACACCGGTGCCTGACTGGAACGGGTCATATCTACCCCAGGAAGCCCGGGATACATTGGAACCGTACAGGCGGTGATGGGTGAAGGGTGCAGTCTACGTGGGCTATTTTAGCTGAGTAAGCTGCGAGCTCCACCGTTGCTGGTACTACAAGCTGCTCTGATTGCCTTCGATAGACAGCCTGTGCGCTGCGGCTTGTAGCACTGCCAATTGAATAGCGTTTGATAAAGGACAGTAAGATTGTGCTTGTCATCACAGCACATAGTCTCATGGCTCATAGCAGGCGTGCTGAATTAAATTTTTAGGACTTATACTTTTCCCCTGCCGTTCTTGGCATATCTAAGGCTCTCAAAAACGCGTTTAAAAGGTAGGTTTCTGCTAAGAAATAACTCTGAGTCGTTTCAGGCTTCTTAGCAACTCATCTCCAGGGTAAACAATTATTGGTGGACTGATATGATTCCGCAAAAAGTAAAAAGATGTCACAAGCCTCGTCTCCTACGTCGGCCACTGCCACACAAACCACTTACGTGCGTTGTTTAATAATAAGGCTAAGTGTGAAGTTTCCTTGAAGGAACACCCTTGAATAAAAAATGAAAGTCCGAAACAGTTAGCATCTTAAATGTCATTTTGACACCGGAAGAGCAAACGTTATCTCGAGGAGGTCTAGATTTAAGCGCGCCAAATTGATCCCCGCTCAACATTTAGACACAGCTGACCGCATAAAAATAAGCACGATCTGGTGTCATCCCACTGACACATGCCACATACTCGCCACTCGCCGCGCCCAGACGTCACAGCAATGCACCGAGAAGTATGAATGCACCAGTGGAAAACAGCGAAGAAAAAAAGGCAAATTACTCTGCATTACACGCCCCCCCCCCCCCCCCGTACGTCGCGTCTTTCGCCACCACTCCCCTCCCGCCGCCGAACCAGGCAGCGGCTCAAGGCCAGACGTAGGAGCAACGTTGCGAAACAGGTCACCGGTCGCGGAACAGCTGATTTCCAAATACAGCGTACGTACTCCACGCATGTACCCCTATATTTATTAAAACACGAACTACCAACAAAAGAGTGGAGCACTGCGTCACATCACCAGTGCTCCCGAAATTCCCGAACGGATCTTGCTCTCATGGTAACAACTCACCCGCATGATGGAGACTGTTGTCTCCGCCCGCCGCTAGAGGCATCCCAATCGCGCAAACAGACCTGATAACCCCTGATTCACTTATACGCGCTGGTGTTGGGCGGAGCCGGTCAGTCGGTTGACCGCGGCGCACGGGTCGGGCCCGCCACCCGGCCGTCAGCGGCGGCTCTGGCGCGGCCATGGAGGCGCCGTGTCCACTAACGCGCGACCAGGCTGGCCAGGCACCGACGCTGGATGCCACGGTGGCGGAGCTGCTACGCAAGTGTGGCGACTGGGCGCACCTCGCCACGGACTGCGTGCTGGCGCAAGCGTATGACTTCGACCCAGCCAACGCGTTCACGCAGCAGCAGGTGTACGTGGAGCAGAAGATGGCGGCGAAGGTGCTGTGTGACGCGCCGGCGCTCCGCGCGGCGCAGATGGGCGCTGCCGAGTGTCGATGCTCGCCCCTCGGCCGCCTGGCGGTGCGCAGCGCCGTGCTGTCCGGCAGCAGGGCGGAGGGCTTCAGCGACTCCGTGCTGACGCTCCGGCTGGGCTCCGACAGTGACGTCATGTACGAGTTCGGCCCTGTCCGCTGGGCGACGGCTGGGCTGAAGGGCGCCGTCCCGGCCGATGGGAGCATCGAACATAGTCTCGCTCTTGACTCGGGGGCGGCGGGCGCCTCCGGGCCGGCATTCGCCGACAGTGAGGGCGCGGAGAGGGGCCCGGCGCTGGCTCCGCGGCTGATCGTCGTCCCCACAGAGGAGCCCGGCTTCGTGCGGCTGCTGCAGGAACGACTGCCTGACTGCCCGCACCCGGAGCCGCTGCCGTTCTCGGCCGAGAGCGTCCGCATGGTGATGCGCACCATGGCGGCGCTGTCCGTGCTGTCCACCACTGAGGTGGTCACTCACGGACCAGCCACGACGTACACCGCAACGCCCGAAAACGACAAGCGGTCCGGCTCTGAAGAAGAATTTGATGCCGTAGCGTGCCTACACGCGCCCTGGTGGCCTAGCAGCGAGTTCTTTGATCGTGAGAGCAGGCGTGACTGGCCGCCCTCCGCCGTTCGTGAGAACGTCCGTCGCTTCGGCATACACCTGGTGCCGACGGGATGTCACGGCAGTGACACGGAGGCCTCCGAGTGGCGATTCTCGCTCTCTCGGGCCGAGATAATAGCTGCGTTTCATTTGACGGACGTGCAGCGGGGGGCGCTAGTCGCCCTCAAAGCGTGCAAGGCAGCCCTGGGTGCTCAGGGCAAGGGAGTCAAGTCAT